CCAACCCCTATCCTTTCCCCCCGCCCCAGAGCCGAAAAAACAAAACGAAATTCACGCAGGGCCAAAACGACAACCCCCCCGGCGCGGACCGACAAACCCCGACGAAAAAAACGACAAACCCCCTGGCGCGGACCGACAAACCCCGATGAAACGACAAATCGGCCTGCTACCATCCGCGCGGGACCGCAGGGACTGCCCCGCCAGCGAACCGGGTCTCACCTGGGACCGTCACGCGAGACCCGCTGTTTGCTTTAGAGTATTAGGGAAAAAAAATGTTTCATTGTTGGATTGGCTCATCTCAAGTATAGCGGTCAAACTGCGTCAACTTCAGATCTACTCATCGGGGTGAGACGGGGGCTGTTGTGATGCAAATCGCACACACATACACACGGATGCACACAAACACACACAGGAGAGAGAGAGAGAGAGAGAGAGAGAGAGAGAGAGAGAGAGAGAGAGAGAGAGAGAGAGAGAGAGAGACAGAGACAGACGGACGGACAGACGGACAGACGGACAGACAGACAGAGATTGTTGTAATGGATCATGAATGTCCGTTTCCATGCTGTGAGTGGTGAAGAGCACATCCATCCATCCTTCCTGAATGTGGAATAATCCTATATTTCTGTCCATCGACGCCTTTTGCTTGTTGCCGACTGCTCATGCATTCACCATTCTCACTCCTGCCTGCTGACCGCAGTTCTCTGGTCTATCAGGCACTCATTCCTTCGCCCTTTTTCTCTTTCTCGCAGTTCACCTCCATCGTATATCTTGCCAGCCATATTTACCTGGCCAATATGTGTCACGCCACTTATACCGCCAGGGAGAAATAGCACTTTCAAAATTTTAAGTGTCACCTCTACTTTCTCTCTTTCCAGCCATACTTGTTTTTACCCAGATGGGAAAATAGCTTACTGGTTTGTCGTTCCAGAAGTCGCGGGTTCAAATCCCTTTTTTTCCTGGGAGGTATGGCAAGTGGCTGAAGGCATTGGTTTGCTAAACTGGGTAATGTATGTCAGATCACCTCCATTGCTAGGAGGTTGTAGCACTCTAGAACTTGGCATGCTCGCTTAGAATAGGACACCATCCCTCTAATGCTGTGCTCACTCTCTCGAGTCTCGACATCTATCATCTAAAAAAAGACGAAAAAAGACGAAAGAGTGAGCTGCAGCTGGTGTCAGAGGAGATGATGACAGGTCCTCTGCTGGCAGTGTCAGAGGAGACGACAAGTCCTCGACAGGGAGTGTCCGGGGAGACAGCATAAAAGCATTCAGTGGCCAACGTGGGCTAAGCATAGATGACGCATTAGCACCTTCCCTTCCCTACCAGACTATCATCATGAAAAAATGCATGCACCCTCTATCCTGTCCGAACACTGTCACGATAGCGAGGGAGTTATGTTTGGGGGATTAAGGTCGGCTGCTGCCAGTGAGGTCAACGGGACGTCGACAACTGCCAGCAAAGAGGAGAAGGAAGGAAAAAGGAGATAACAACAGATCAGGAGTTCAAATCCTGATGGATGCAATGATGTCAGGAACTGCCTGCTTTAGAAAGAACAGGCATGAGAGAGAAATTGCCAGCAACTAGGAGGAAGAAGAAAGAAAGCAGAGAGAAGAAAGAAGTGAGAGAAAACCGCTGCCGGACATTTTGGAAAACAGTAGAAGGATAACTCAACAGAAGTTATCTGGCCGAGTCGGGGGCAAGCGAACAGCCATTCTAAAAATAGATCCATCTACAAAGAAGATGTGCGTCTGTCTCACCCAAGTTGCCTCGGGTACAACCCAGGCTGCCATAAACCACTCTCACAGTCTCCCCACGGCTCTGATGACGACACATGTGGCCTCTGAAGTGCATGCACTTTCCCGGTAACTGCAGCGCCAGGAACATACCTGAGCCCCCCCCTGGAAAGCTCACTTGCATTCTTCTGTCTATGCAGAGTTGCTCATACTTGGCACTCCACAGCATCGCTCATATTCAACAACATCTGAATTCCCTGCTCGAGGTGTAATTACCCAGGCGTAGTTTGGTAAACATCGCAAGCGCAAACATGTCCCGCACCGTGGGTCCCGCACCGTGGTACACCGTGAGTGCGTGCCTATTTGCTGTTGCAAATCGGCCAGATATGGCGAACGCATAGACCATGGAAGAAGAGGCCTGCAACGCCACCAAGGAAGCCTAGGGTTCGCATTCAGTATGCCTGTGACATTTCTACAGATGTGTTTTTACACACCAGTTAGGCCCTTGACGTAACACTGGTATCATTAACTGTCACAGGAACAGAGGTGCCCAGCAAGTGTGAGATCATCATGCGTGCAAATGGAACTACTACCATCTTCTCCTGAATGTGAGGCACCCTCATCATGACTATATCGAACCAGAGAGAGAGCTTGTACGCATTCATGATGAGGGTGTCTTATTTTCGGCGGACGGCAACAGCTTTCTACATACCTGCTTTGCAGTCAACCAACCCGCCAACCAGCCGACGATTATTGCCCTGCTGTTCTCACTGGTGAGAGCAGGACATGTATCTGCTGATATGCCAGACCGAGAAACATCCATCTCTCTGAAGAGGGAACTGTCGTGAGAATAGATGTGCCTACCACTGCCTACCACTTTGGGAAATGTCCATGCCTGCCTTTCAAACTGGTACTTACCTTACAGCTTTCTACATATCTGCTCCGCAGTCAACCAACCAACCAGCCAGCCAGCCAGCCAGCCAGCCTGGGATTATGGCCCTGCTATTCTCCTGGTCCCAAAGAGGGCATACATCTGCTGACGTGCCAGCCACCGACGAGGACCATGCAGGATGTCTGTGGCGCACAGTAATTACAGCTGCCTTACACTGCTTACATCGTTCTACATACCTACCCCAAGATGATGAGGTGCCAAACGACTCCGTCGATATGAGCTCTTGGGAGTCATCAGCCTGTTATCCCCGGCGTACCTTTAATCCATTGAGCGAGAGCCCTTCCACATGGGGCCCCCGGATCACTATGGCCGACTTTCGTCTCTGTTTGCTTTGCAGTCAACCTACAAACCTACCAACCAACCCACCAACCAACTAATGCACCAGCCAAACCACCAACCCACCCAACAACCAGCCAGCCAGCCAGCCAGACTGGGGTTATGGCCCTGCATTTTTTTTTTTTTTTTAATTTTCCAGATAGCAGCGTCAGGCTGTCCTTCGGGACATCCGTTAAAATTGGAACGATACAGAGAAGATAAGCATGGCCCCTGCGCAAGGATGACACACATAAATCGAGAAATGGTGGCAAATTTATATATTTAAAAATATATTTAAAAAAAAAAAAGATACCAGCGTCAGGCTGGTAGAGGGGGTTTCCCTGCTGGTCACAAAGAGGAGGTCCTGATGAGTGGACCATACAAGACATCTGCGGCTCACCATAACGACAGCTGCTTTGGTGGAGAAACTTCACATCAACGAGGAACTCTAGGAAAGACTGAACAAAGGTAGGCAAGGCCTTGCTCAGACAAAAGACAGCATCCCCATGTTCATCCAGAACTATGAAGAACATGGAGAGCATCTAAGGGCATACTCACACTCGGACTTTTCGACTGTTCTCTGGACCCAATAGTGGTCAGATTCATCCAGGTTGTGCCGTCATTGTGGCCAGATGCACCCAAGAAGTCCCACTGTGAGTACGCTCTAAGGAACGTGGTTGAGGCACTGAGAAATGGGAAGGACAAGATCAGTGCAAAGAAGAGCGAGTTCCTAGGATTCGAACTGTATGTATGACAGATCTGGAAAATATGGCCAAGGATCAACAGGTCGATAGACGCGTCAACATAACAAACCTGTCACACCTTTTAGCCACACCAAATAAACCAACAGCAAAAAAAAAGTTAAAAAATGGATCAAAGGGGCTTTAAACCCCAGGGCAAAAGTGTGTTTTCCATATTATCGTGGAGTGCGGCGCGGGGCGCTGCGCGCCATGCGCGAGAGAGTGGTGCACGTGCACGTGCGCAAAAAAAAAGTGCGTGCCTCTGTGTGCGTGCCTCTGTGTGTGTGTGTGTGTTGTGT